ATGTGTAAAAATTCAAAGTTTTTTATTATTCTTTTTTATCCCTATTTTTTCTTCTACATACACTCACAAATCACTCAATATGGCTCAAGAAATGGATTCTACACTCAATTTCACCCTTGGTCACCACTGGAGACGTCGCTGGAACTCAACTGGATAGGAAGCTACACCCTCTGGACTCTCACAATACTCACTTACACACCCCAACAACATGGCAACACTCAATCACCACCAACACATCAACAATTACATATCTCACACTATACATGTGCACATTGCAGGACAACTACACTCTCTCACCAGCATAGTACATAAGTATACACACCCCTCCACCATCTTCTGACATATTGACACATGCAGTGTTGGTCTGGAACCACTCAGGATTTACAAGTGACATCATGCAGGTTGTCATGTCATTTGTTATTCTTCCTTGCAGCTGTCACACTATCTCACACCACTCATGTAATCTTCATCACTCCATCTTAGTTTTAGACTAGTACAATCACATCATGTAGCATGCTACACCAGCATAAAACCCTCATGTAGACTTCTAGTTCAGGCTGAAATGACTCTTACAACATCATGTAGGTTTCTCAACCAGCCAAAATACCTCATGTACATGTCCTGACTAGCTAAATCCCCTCATTGTAAAGCTCTGGCCAGCTAAAATCTCTCATTCTCTTGTTCCCCTGAAGCTAAAATCCCTCACCCTTTTGTATTTAAGGAGGCTTTCCTCCGAGTTGTTTTTACCCTCAGTTTAGTACCCACAAATCACATACCCCCTACCATTACATACCATACCATTAAACATTACATACTGTAACAACCCTTACAAACACCCTATAACAACCCTTACACTTGTAATACACACTAAACTCACTCTCATACTCTCAAAACCTCTTCTCTCATACAATTATATTGCAATCAAACAAATTATTCTCAAACCAACCACCCCTATCACTTCATTAAAACTTGCCAAGCTGAGCTTGGTGGGTCTTGTTATCTGATAGTACAGAAGGGCAGAGCTTGCAACTCCACCATACCCTTCAACATTCAGCAAAAGGGTTCTCACAACCACTTTTGAGTCTTACAACGGTGGCTGTTGAATCTTCCTCCTGCTATTTCATCCGTTGTGGAACTACTCTTTGGTGGGAATAGAGCTTAAAGAGAGGTGAGAGTTTGAAGGGCTGCCTCTCTGGTTACTGGGAGAGTAAGAAGAACAAGAAATAAGAGTATGGACTCTTAAAGAAAGGTGTGGCTAAATGAAGATGTAAGATTTGTAAAAGGGTAAGGTATGAGGATAATAATTTTTTGTGAAATGTCTTAATTTTGTAATGCTAAATATATTCCAAGTAAGTAATGCTAAATATATTACCAGGGAGCAATAATGACAACTCTGATAGGGGACAAATGGCAAGGGCCAAGAGAGCACTACATGAATGTCTTCTGAGAGGGGATAAGAAAACAAGGAGCAAGGCATCATAACAGGGTACATGTAACAAGGCAACAACATGGCTTGGGAATGGCATGTTTGACAAGGGTGAAACAAGGCTGAGGCAACAGGGATAGAAACATGACATATGAGGCTACTGTAGAAAGTGCCATGGTATGTAATAAGGAGAAACAATGATGATGAAGAACAGGGGTCTTTCCTAATAGTCTGGCTCTCTTTTATGGTGGACTTTTTCCCACTTTATACCTGATTTGTACTTATTTTATTACCAAATGTGGCTGGTGATCCATGTGGAGTGTTACTGATGGGTTGTTGGACCTTGTAGGTCTGATGGAAGTGTCTGTGGGATGATTGAAGGTGGCCATGAGTGTATTACATATGTAGGATGTTGATTTGAGGGGTGTTATGATATGTAGAAGGTGTGAAGATGGTCCAGAAAGGTGGTAGAAAGGTGTAACAGGTTTTGATTGGTCTTACCACATCACCCTCAAATTAGATGATGTCCCCATCATCCAAAATTGAGTTACCTGTGACTTCACTTGAGGCAGAAGAGAGAGAAGAAAAGAAAGGAAGAAGAAATGTGACTGGGAAAAAAAAGAAATGTGAAATTTGTACAAAGAAATTTATCAAAGTTGTGGAGGCTTGATGTAAGGAAAAGAGAAAATCAGAAGAAGAAAAAAGAAGTGCATCAATTTTTATGAAGGATTTTTTTTAATGATTTATACTATCATTTCTATTTGATTGGTTTTAATTTTTGGGAAAAAAAAGAAAAGTTGATGACAAGCAAAAAGAAATGGATTCCTGTGTTGAGCTATGATTCTTTTTATGGTGGTTTAATGTTTTTTTTTTTTTTTTTTTTTTTTTTTTGGGTGTTAATAAAAACACGCGGTAAATCCGCGTTTACACACGGTTTCTGCTGCTCGCAGCACACGCGGATTCTGCCTTTGCACGCGGTTTTTTATTTAATTTTTTCCCCGCTTATTTTTTAAGTTTTTTTGAATTTTTAAAATTGTTTCCTACACTATAAAAGGCGTAGAATTTAATGGTAAAAACCATTTTCCATAAAAATGAAGTTCAATTATTAATTTTTTTTCCACTTATTTTTCAATTAATTGTTTGCATACATGTATATACCTTATTTTTTATGCTTTTTTGAAATTTTAAAACTATTTCCTAGGTTTCAATGTGCGTAGAAATTTATGGTGCAATCCAATTTCTTTAAAACTCAACGGTTCATTTTTAATACTGAAATTAGACACATTTTTTCACTTAAATTTCTACAGGTTAATTTTCATTCTTTTTTGACATTTTAAATTTTTTTCCTACACTCTAAGACATGTAAAAAATTATGGTAAAATTCATTTTGCATTAAAAGAAAACTGAATTTTGAATACTGCATTTGACACCATTTTTTCAACTAATTCTTCACTTTTTCACTTAATTGTTTGCATACATGTGTGTACCTTATTTTCTATGCTTTTTTGAAATTTTAAAGTTGTTTCCTACATTTAAAAGTGTGTAAAATTTAATGGTAACATTCAATTCCCATAAAACTCAACGGTTCATTCTGGATACTGTAATTAGTCATATTTTTCAATTGATTTTTAAGAGCTTAATTTTCATTATTTTTTGACATTTTAAATTTTTTTCCTACACTTTAAGACATGTTGAAAATGATGGTAACAATCACTTTGCATCAAAATAAAAACTGTATCTTGAATAATGCCTTTGATGGGTTTTTTTAATTAATTCTTACATGCTTAATTATCCTTATTTTTTGGAATTTGAAGTTCATTTCCTACACTTTGAAAGGTTCCAAAATTGCTGGCTGTATCCATTTTGCATTCAAATAAAATTTGTATACGGTAAAAATTATGCAAGAAACGAGGTACACTCATGTATTAAGATTGAAGCTTGTATATTTATGGAAATTGGACTTCACCATTCAATTCTAAACATTTGTAAATGTAGGAAATAAATTTAAAATAAAAAAATGCTTAAAATCAGGCCGGTAAAAATCAATCAAAAAAACATTATCCGTTTGATTCGTTTATACAGGATTTTGTTTTCTATTGCTCCTCCTAATCAGGGACAAAACCTGCGATCCACCCATTGCTCTGCCGATTCCGTGAGTTATAAAAGGAGGGGCGGTCAAAGGTAAGGTACCTCCCATTTCCGTCACCAATATACTCTCTCAAATCATCCTACATCAAGCGAGCCAATACCGTACCCTTCCCTAGCACAAATCCAAACATGTCGTCAGAAGCCAACCGTGTATCCCATTGAGTAACAAGCTCTTGTCCTTCAGTCGCAGACTATCAGACTGACAATGGTTTGTCCAATTTGTTCCCTGGATCTCTTAGTGACCTAATCAACATCCCCTCCAATACAGAGGTGTTGACTAATAGTAGATCACCATCCCCAGGCTCCGTGTACAATTACCGCCCCATAGAGCGTACGACCCTTGTCACGCTCGGCTTAGCCACCGTGGTAGAACACCACAGACTTATGGTATTTCGGGATCCGAGCCCTCGCTGGCCGAGCCAATTATCAAGCCAATTTCCGAGGTCATGGTGCACATCGCGATGGCCACCGCGTGGTTTACCGCCGTGCCATACTTGCTTTAAGAGATTTGGAAAGGGAGATAGCCGATTTAGTGGAAGACTGCATCATTGTTAGGGCAGCCGCTTGAGTGAGTAGTTTTTTATGGCCTTAATAAAAAAACCCGCATTTTCCGCGTTTTGACACGCTTTTGCTGTGGCACAGCACACGCGCAATCCGTGTTTAAATGCGCTTTTTTAATTAATTTTTAATTTTTTTTTATTTTTTAAAATTGTTTCCTACACTGAAAAACGTGTAGAATTTAATGGTAAAGTCCATTTTGCATAATAATGACTATTGATTCTTGATTTTTTTTCACTCATTTTTCAATTAATTGTTTGAATGCATGTATGTACTTTATTTTTTATGTTTTTTTGAGATTTTAAAATTATTTCCTAGGTTTTAAAACATGCAGAATTCAATGGTGCAATCCAAATTTTCTAAAAATCAACTGTTCACTTTGAATACTGAAATTAGACACTTTTTTCACTTAAATTTTTGCAGCTTAATTTTCATTCTTTTTTGACTTTTTAAAATTATTTCCCACACTTCAAGACATGGCTAAAAGGGGAGTGATAACCACACTCCACCCCCCTTTGCACACACACTCCAACACTCCCTTCTCTGAAGGGAGTGTGGGACCGCACTCCAATTGAAATTGGATTGCGGGTTCACACTCCAATTGAAATTGGAGTGCGGGTTCACACTCCAATTGAAATTGGAGTGCGGGTTCACACTCCAACGATCTGCAGGGGCAGTCCCCCAGCAGGTTGGAGTGCAGACCTGCACTCCAATTTTGATTGGAGTGTGAGGTTGCACCCCAATGTATAAGCAAGGCAGGCTTGCTTACCTCGCTTGCAGGCTGGCATGCAGCCTTGCACGCCAACCTGCAAACCTAAACGCATATGAATATGGGTTTAGGTTGCGCCATATCCCATAGGACCCAGGGATGGGTCCTATGGAGACGACTACCCAGGCTTTGAACCTTGAACAGACATCTGTTCAAGGTTTGAAGCCTGAAGGCCATCATCCAAGGTTTGAATTTTGGCCGATGGCCTTGAAGATCCCTGTAAGACCCAGGCCTGGGTCCTACAGGGATTATACATTTGTTTGTTTCTCTAGTCTTGGTGTTGGGGCTCCAGTCCAGCCCCGCAACCCGTGTCCAGTTCTGAGCTCGGATCAGTCTGTCTGAGCTCAGGACTGAAGTTTTCCTCCACCAACCACCAACTCACAAGTCTATTGGCCAGCAATCAACCCAAACCCACCCAACCTGCCCACCCCGAGCCCCTGAGAGACACCCAAGCCCCCCATGGGATTGCTCTTGCCTTGGTGTGTGCTGGTAAACATACACCACAGGTTCTGAGCCACATCGGCTCGTTGTTGTCGATTTGGTTAAGCCAACTTGTGTGACCCCGCCCCAAAAAATGGCCCTGCGCACAGCGGGAAGGATCGGAACCCGCTGTTGGCTTGACCTGTGACGCAGGCCTCACGGTGAGGGATGTCGTTGGCTTGACTTCCAACGCTGGCTTGACAGTGGCATCTGATCCGAATACCATTATTCCAACCTGCACGTCGGCAGAGGTCGGTGGTCACTGGTCAGATATCGGTTGGCCAAAAAGGAGCGAGCTTGGCTTGCTCTCCTAAAAAGCGGCTCTAGGGGCATTCGAACCCAGCATGCCATGATTCAGAACCACTGATCACTCCACGAGTACCAAGACACACACTAACTACTCCGCCAATGCATCTTTCTGATCTTCCCTTTTCTTTGAAAAAAAGTTCCACAATTTCCTTTCAATTTCTTTGGAAATCTTTTCATTCCGTTGAAGTTTTTTTTTTTTTTTTTTTCAAAATTTTGAACATGTGTAGCCTCTTTTTAATCATTCAGAGAGACCACAAAAACCAATTTTGAGATTGGTTTTTTTTGTCAACCTATTGGTTGAGCTGACCTGAGCTGACCCTTTGTCAAACAAGTTAATCGACCAATGTGGTCATGTCGCCATCATCATCTGGGTTTGCCATCGTCGGCTTGCTCGCAAGGTCACAAGCTTGTCAGCATAAAGGGAGCTGTCCCTCCCTGTATGACTCAGGGGTCATGACGCTGTCAACACCAGGCTAGTCGGCTGAGTTGACTTGACCCTTGAGTCATACAGGGCATGCCATCGTAGGGAAGACCAAGATTTGCCGTCAGCTTGCCTGCTGTGTCAAGTGCAAGGCAGGCAGGTCATCACTGACCTGCGAGGACTCAAATTTCACCCCCCTGTGGGGTTGACACGGTCAAACAAAAAATATCGACCTGTGGTGTACACACACCAAGGCAAGAGCAATCCCTGTAGGACCCAGGCCTGGGTCCTACAGGGATATTCAAGGCCATCGGCCAAAATTCAAACCTTGGATGATGGTCTTCAGGCTTCAAACCTTGAACAGATGTCTCTTCAAGGTTCAAAGCCTGGGTAGTCGTCTCCATAGGACCCATCCCTGGGTCCTATGGGATATGGCGCAACCTAAACCCATATTCATATGCGTTTAGGTTTGCAGGTTGGCGTGCAAGGCTGCATGCCAGCCTGCAAGCGAGGTAAGCAAGCCTGCCTTGCTTATACATTGGTGTGCAACCTCAGACTCCAATCAAAATTGGAGTGCAGGTCTGCACTCCAACCTGCTGGGGGACTGCCCCTGCAGATCGTTGGAGTGTGGAACCGCACTCCAATTTTGATTGGAGTGCGGTCCCACACTCCCTTCAGAGAAGGGAGTGTTGGAGTGTGTGTGCAAAGGGGGGTGGAGTGTGATTATCAATCCCCATACAAAATACAAAAAAACCTGCCTCTCTGCCCCTGTCTTGTCTTGTCTCTTCTTTGTTTTTTTTTATAAGGAAATTGTAAACTTATTGATTTAGTTTAATTAAGTACAGATTACCTATGTAATGGTGTACTTTCTTGGCTTTCTTTCTCTGGTTTTTCTCTCTGGGCGTAGCCACTTGAATGCTATACCAAAGTTTCCCTCCCCCAAAATACAAGCTCATCCTCAGCCTTTTGCTGATAAGTCCAAACCTCGAAGCCCAGGATCCCTCTTCAACAAAGGCTTTCCCCCCTCTTGAGTCCAAAATTTGTAAAAAGTCTAATGAGTCTGAGAACCCTCCGGGCAACTCTTCAAGCCATTCTTGTGTGTTTTGCTTCTTCTTTGGTATGTGAGCTCCGTCAAATATGTCTTTGAATCTGTAAGGCAGATAATCCACCCAGAACCATTCACGGCCTGCGTCCACATCAATGGGTTCTGCCGCCCATGCTGCCTCCGCTTCTGCCAACTGTTTATTAGTCTGTTTCTGTTCCGCCGGGGTGAGAGTAGCGGCTCCCAATTCTTTGGCCCAGTCTACAGCTTCTAGTAGATGCTCTTTCCATGGGTCCTCTTCCCCTATCTTATCTTGTGATTGCCCTCTGTTCAAATAGCGCCCTGGAGAGGTGTCTTCTTTACTTGGTGAGCTCTCCAATTTTCCTGCCAAACTATAGAATAGAGTTTCCTCCAACCCTTCTAAGTGCTCCCACTCAATTACTGTGATACTTTGGTCTTTAGGTCCAACTGTGTCTATTTGATCAAACAGGTTCCAGTTGACTACTTGGAAGGAGCAGTTTTGTCTGAGTGCCGGAGGCTCTTTATGCCAACCTGGTGAATCTGGTAGACAGATGGGTATGCAGACTCTTCTCCCTGCTGAATACGGGAAACTTAGTACTTCTCCTTTTTGATGGGATAATTCTAACCTGATATTATGATCCGCTAAAAAAGGACGGCCCAACACTGTATGAACTGATCCTCTGACAACAAAAAAGTTTTCTAAGTGTATATAGCCTGGTAACACATTGACCGGAATATTCTCAGCTAATCCCACAATTGGGGTGACATGCCCTCTGATCCCTTTAAGCCTCATGAATATCTCTGTAGTTACTAGTCCAAGCTGATCTGCTAATTTGTCAGGAATAATGTTCATTTCGGCGCCCGTGTCCACTAGAGTACGTATTTTCCTTTTGTTAATTGTCATATCCACCATTCCAACAGGACATGCATATGTAAGGCCTCGTTCTTCTTCATCCTCAGAGGTTCCTAGTACAGTGGAGCAGTGTAGTTCTACATTGTTGGCTTTCTTCTCTGACACATTGAATTCTGGTCGTGACTCCTGTAGACCTTGGAGAAACTGTGGTGCAATTTTTACAATCTCTTCTAAAGTGAGTGTATAAGTTTTTTTATAAAATTTGTTTCTAATAGATTTATCCAAAGGCTCAATTGTGATTTCCTTTGCTCACAATTCCTCTCTACTCTGCTTGGGGTTCTCACAGGATGGTCCGGTAGACTTTTGTTTACTACTCTCCTCTTCTTCTAGTTCTTCCTCTTCCAACCATGATCCGGGGAAGCTTTTTCTTCTAGTGGGAGGTTTAATGGCCTCTTGGTTTGGTGGTGGAGTTTTGCTAACGGTTTCCTTAACTGGCATGGGCTGGCTACTTGCTTGTGGATTTTTTCTTGTATTCTTTGCGACTTTCTGAGTCCAAAACCAATATTGTTCTGAAGTTCTTCTTTGCTGATATTGGCCTGCGGTGGAAGCCATGATCCCCACTCCTCTACTTCTATCACTGCTGATGTAGACTCTTGCACTGCTGTGTTTTTGGTGCGACTGTTGCTTTGCTCATCATGAAACCTTTTAACCATCTCCTTCGCGGAACACTCCTTGTCTACTACAATTGGCTGTCTGTTTGGGTAGTAATACACGCCTTGATATCTGAACATCCGTCTATCTTGCATATCTTGAGTATAGGCTTTGCATTGGGATAACATGTGTTTCTCTTTGCAATAAAAGCATTCCACCTCTGTAAATCGCGGTCTAGTATACCCAAAACCCAGTGAAGAAGGCCTATTCAAATGTGGGGGTGCCGCTCTTGCTTGATACTCCAGGTAATTGTTGAGTTTCTTTATTGTCTCCTTTAACTCTTCTGTTTCTGCAGGATCTTGTATTTTAACCTTCCTTTTGGTAGAGTCTGTTGAACTGTTTTATGGCTTGTCTTCGTCAAAATCAATAATGATGAGGGCTAATTCTACATATTCCTTGAGGATATCTAGTTCCAGGATCATATTCCTGCCATCTTTAGTATTTTTGAGCTTTTTGGCATGTGCTAGTTCCTTAGTCACTTCCTTCTTAAGTTCTGTGGACAAGGAACTCCCAAGGGGATTCCCGCTATTGGGGTTTAGGTGGCTGTAACCCATCTGTGTGAAGTAGTCGGTCATTTCTTCCAGTTCTCCTACAAATTTCATGTATTCCATCCTGGTTTTTATGCCCTGACCTTCTTGGGCCTTCTGAACTAATCGAGGTATGGCATCTTCTCTATACTTTCTGAATGGTGTGGCTTGTCCCCACTTGCGGGTCAATTCTTTCTTCAATAGTTCCCAGTCTCCCGTTTCATGCCCCTCCATCTGTTCTATAGCCTCACTGATTTTCTTGTTGTTGATAATGAGGGGTAGTTGGAATGCTAGATCCACTGTTCCCGCATTCTGTATAAAGGCTAGCTTTTCTACTCTTCTGATGAATACTTCTACTTCGGTCCCATCAAAATGAAGGTTTGTCTTTTTAGCATCTAACATCACTCCCTTTTGCTCATCTGGTAACTTTATACTAGTCTTAGGTCTTCCTTGGCTAGATGGGGACGCCCCTTCCAAGTTTAAAAATGACTCCTCTCCGGCTCCAATGGTTGTATCCAATCCTTGCGTTCCATCATCAAAGGGTGTTGATGTAGCAAATCTTAGCCTTGATGCCTGTATTGGTGGCATGTCTGGTATTGGCACTTGCTGCGGCGTGTTCTGCTTAAGTAACAAATTTACCGTGTCTTGTAGACCCTGCATCATCTCTTCCATTTTTGATATCTGAGCTTGCTGTTTCAAGATGATTACTAATTACTCCATACTGGATTTGTCTGGGGTAGACATTCCTGACTCTAGCTTAAGGTCTGGAAAGAACTTCTTGAAGACGGCAGTTATTGCTTCCCTCTCTGTTGATCCCTGATCCTCCACTTTAATTTAGTCTTCTGTTGCTGAGGGAGATTTACTGTTGATATTCTGAAGGTTATTTTAGGCCACTGTTGGGACACCAGATGTGAGAACTCCTTTGGGAATGGTGGCAGTCCTGTGAGGGGGAAATAGCAGATGAGAAATATCACGTATGTAATGATCTACTACAACTGTTACGGCTGGTTTGAAAGACCTGCCCCTCTAATTTACTACACTAGAGTTAACACAACAATTTATTTATTTGTTGTGGCAAAACTGATGATAGAGAAACTATGTGTAGCAGTCTCTTATCAAACCTAGATCAATGTGGATTCAGCAGACTATTTGAGTGGAAATGTTGAGTAAGAGATGTTTTTGTTCATATGTTTATGTATTTTGAAAAATGATTGATGTATGTACTGATGATGAATGTGAATTTATGAGATGATAGTGAGGAAAAAAATGTGAATATTGAAAGTGTTTTTCCTTTCCTCCTTGAATCTTGGTCAAGAGCACAATGGTTTAAGATCACTGTCTCTTGTTTAAGATCACAAGTTGTACTGGTTGCTACTTTCTTTTCCCTATGCTTCTCAATGTATGAATGATCTCAATGGGGCACTTGATTAAGATCACACTGGTTAATGTATGGATTGATTGCTCTGTTCTGTCTGGTTCCTGATCAGATGAGATGATGAAAAATTGGAATGAGGGGGGAAAGCCCCTCCTTAAATAGTCTATTTTACAACTCGGCTGACTTGTGGTTCTAGCCCTAACCTATAATCTATAAATGGCCAACTTCTGGCTCTAGCCCTAACCTATAACTTATAATTTATAAATGGCCAGCTTGTGGTTCTAGCCCTAACCTATAACAAATATGCATAAAATCCGGCCAAATTGTGGTTTTGCTATCTATACAAGATTCTCTGTGTACCTACAAACAATGTGGCCAACTTGTGGTTACCCTATGCAATGAATATTGAATATGTAAACAAACTAAGGCCAACTTGTGGTTTGCATTATGCAATAAGCATTTTGTATGCAAATAAAACTTGAATCCCAAATAACTTTTGACTGAGTGGAGCTAGCCTAGTGGTTCCAGTGAGTGACTATGGGTTAAATGACCCGTAGAATGTGATTATGGCATGCTATAATACGCCTAAGAATATATGCCCTTCTACATATTGGACTGTGACTTTATGCAATTTGATACTTGAAACACAATTGGCATACTACACCGATGCTGACACATCATCCCTGACATGATTTCCCAGATGGGAAATCTTGTAAATTTTAGGGAAATCCTGTAAAAATATAAAGATTTTTCCAGATTTTTTAGTTTTCCTGAATTTTTTTAGATTTTTCCAGTTTTTTTTAGATTTTTCCAAGTTCTTTAGATTTTTCTAAATTGTTTTAAATTTTTCCAGATTTTTGGGATTTTTTCAGATTTTTCCAATTTTTCCAATTGTTTAAGATTTTTCTAATTTTTCCAGATTTTTTAGATTTTTTTCAGATTTTTTCAGATTGTTTGGACTTGGTAATTTTTCTCAACTTTATAGATGTCTCTTGCAAAAAAAATCTGGAAAAATCTAAAAAATTTAGAAAAATATAAAAAGGGAGTTGATCAACCAACTCCCAAACATTGGAGAGTCAACTCCCAAACCTGGGTTTCCCCGAAATTTGGGGGTCAATTCCCCAAACCCGTCAGTGGGTTTGGGAGTCAGCCTCCAAAAAAATTTAAATCAAAAAAAAGAAAACCCCTGGCGGGGTTTGGTTGTCAATGCCAGAACCAGAAAAAAAAACCTGACAGCCACCAGGATTCCTCCCGGCCGCGGAGAGTGCTCTTGACAGCTGAGAGAATTTCTCTCAGCCGCAGAGGGTCTACAACCTCAACAGCCAAGAGAAAACCCTCTTGGCCGTTGAGTATAACCCTCAACGGCCAAGAGGGTTTCTCTCGGAGGTCAGGGTGAACACCTCAACGGCTGAGGGAAACTTCTTGGCCATCAAGACCTCAACGGCCAAGAGAAACCTCTCCGCAGTTGGAGGTGTAGCCCTCAACGGCCGAGTGAAACCTCTCGGCCATAGAGGGTGTACACCTCAACGACCGAGAGGAAACATGTACGACCAAGAGGGTTTCCTCTTGGTCATTGAGAATGTAAACCCTCAACGGCCAAGAGTGTACCTCCTGGTCGTTGAGGGTATACACTCTTGACGGCCAAGAGGATTCCTCCCGGCCGTTGCGGGTGCATACCCTCAACGGCTGTCAGCCACAGAGTACATATCACAGTACCTTTCATGTACCAAGTAACTGCAAAACCTGTACTTATGTACATAAGTACTTATCCATAATGTTGATTACCTTTACCTCTTGTTATCTTATCATTATCATTAACTTATCTTATTTATCTTACATTTATCTTATCTGTTAATTACTTATCTATTAAATACATACCTGTGTTCTACATAATTAATTATCACTTACCTTTCACTCCTTTGTCCGTGAAATACCTGTACCACAAGTTATCCCTGTTCTACAGTATTTTCACGGCCAAAATATTATTACAAATAAATATGTACATGTATTAAATAGTAAGTATTAAGTGTCAATTGAATTAATACATTCAATACATGCACTGATCACAATTATGACTACATTATTAGAGGATCTGTTAAGTACATGCATCAAGAGCAACTAGTACATTGATCAACTAGTACACAATTATGATGTCACTTACAGATCATGACAAATAATGATCAGTCACTCAATTGATGTGCTCATTCTCCTGGCCAAAGCTCCCTTGATTCTGAGCGCTCATTCTTTCCCCCCTTCAATATTCTGGAACTTATAATCCGTGCCTCTTTCACTGATCAATCCCCAGAATATTCAGACACCAGTTAAACCAGTTAACATTTATATTGATACAGTACACGTAACCAACATAAATCTTGTCTACATTTATTGTTCTTAAGCTTCAGTACTCTTACTCAACTTATCCACAGTATTCATAGCCTTGCTGAATATTCCCATCAACAATACCTGTTAATCTTCAACTAATTTTGTTAAAGCTTAATAAGTATTGTTATCCCATTCCCTTTTGGGAATAACCAAATCAATCCCAGGTGAGTCTTAGTACCCTGGATGCCTATTAATACCTTGTATTGATCCGGATGCGCTGTTGATAGCAAGCCTCTCAGTAAAGACCATACTGATAGAGTGAAACCTCCTCTTTACAGGACTGGTATTAATCACCCACTACCTAACACTCACCACGCTCGAAAACTTCAGTCAACTCCTAGTAACAACCTTTTTACTATTAATTACTCAGGTTAGTCACCCAGAGGCTGACAACGGCTGAGAGTTTACCTCTTGGTTGTCAAAGTGTACACCCTCAATGGCCCAGAGGATTTCTCTTGGCCGTTGAGGTGTACACCCTCAACGGCTGAAAGATTTCTTTTGGCCGTTGAGGGTTATACCCTTAACGCCCAAGATAAATTTCCATAGAGCACTCTTGTTGGGAGGAATCCTCCCAGCCACTGGTTTTATTTTTTTTTATCACCGACCCCCCAAAACCACTTGGTTTTGGGGCATTGACACCCAACCCCTCCGGGGTTTTTCTTTTTTTTTATTTAAATTTTTTTGAGGGCCAACTCCCAAACCCACTCACGGGTTTGGGGAATTGACCCCCAAATTTTG